AAGTGGAGAAAAGATTGAAGTTGTCAAGGATTTCATTTTACTTGGATCCACAACAAACACCCATAGAAGCAACAGTCAAGAAATCAGATGACATAGTACATTGGGCAAATCTGCTGCAAAAAACCTCTTCAAAGTGTTAAAGAACAAAGATGTCACTTTGAAGACTAAGGTGCATCTGACCCAAACCATGGTATTTTCAATAACCTCATCTGCATGTGAAAGCTTGACAATGAATAAGGAAGACAGAAGAATTGATGCATTTGAATTGTGGTGTTGGTGAAGAATAGTGAAAATACCATGGACTGCCAAAAGAACAAATTTGTCTTGGAGGAATTATAGCTGGAATGCTCCTTAGCAACGAGAATGGCCAACTTTGTCGCACATTAGTCATGTTTACAGAAGGGACCCATCCCGGAAGAGGGATGGCATGAGTGGTAAAGTAGAAGGTCAGTGAAAAAGGGGAAGACCCTCAGTGAGATGGATTGATATTGTAGCTACAACAATGGGCTCAAGCATAGCAATGATTGAGGATGGCACAGGACCAGGCAATGTTTTGTTGTGTTGTACATAGGGCCTCTGTGAGTCAGAATCGACTCGATGGCACCTAACAATGTTTTATAAAGTTGCTACTAACACTGAATTAGTGTACATTGAATCATTGCTCCCAAAGGAAATGCAGAGTTAGGCTCCTTTGAGCCCTGGTCCCAATTTTTTCATCAACTAATCAATACATAACTTATGTGTGTTTTCATTCAGACACCTTATTTAACATATATTGTTGATTCATTAATATTGAATGTATGGCCAACAGGGCTATAACTCATGCTTAAACATCAAAGGTGATCTAACACATGTGCTTTCTCTGCAAGGCACATCAAAGCATTCTTGCACTTGGAACACTAGGCAATTCTTCAGGACCATATTTTGGGACAATTTTATACAGTAAAATCACCAACAAAAAGCACAAAAATATGAAAAACATGGAACTCAATAAACAACAAAAAGGACCATTATTTACAGTGTAAGAGCTGAAACAAAAAAGCAGAGCATCATCTTGTTCCAGCTCATCCGGGAATGTGCTATCAGGCAACTCAAATTTTTCACCATTTTGTGCATTTCTGCAAAAACATTTTAACTATTTTGAGGCTACAAATATATTTTAATAAGTAGAGTTTACGAATATAGAATCCATAAATATTGATGATCAACTGCAATTAGGTTTGGACTGAAAAACAAAACCTAGTACTATGCTGTTTAAAGAAATGTAAAACATTAAAATAGGATGGTGTAAAGAAATGGAAAAAATGTATGCCAAATATTAACCATAAACAGGTAAAATTATCCACATATAAGCTGCCTCATTGGTGTTATTAGGTGTCACTGCATCAAACAAATGGCTGAGCTATATCAGATTTTAAGACAAAAACTATTAGCACTATTATTTCACAGTGATAAAAGCAGTAATTCACTAGGAAAATAAAATCGACAAATCCAGAATTATTCTGCAAGATTTTATTACATTTCTTTCAGCAAATGATAAAAGACAAAATTAATAATGCAACTTTCTAGACAGATGCAGCAGAATAAAATGGTTTTAATGGCCAGTTCTATTTAACCTTCAAGTACAATTTGTGCCATAGAACAAAGAAAAGCTTCTCAACTTATTTTATGATGCTAACATAGTCTTGATACCAAAAATGCAAGGTGTATGTGAAAACATAAAGGAATTTTAATTTTACTTGGGAGCTCTGGTGGCAGTGCCTAAGCCATTTGACTGCTAACCAGAAGGCTGGTGGTTCAAACCCACTAGCCGCTCCTCGGAAAGGTTGGGCAATGTACTTCTGTAGTGATACTGCCTCTGAAACCCAAGGAGGGGTTGCTATGAGTCGGATCTGACCCCAGGGCAGTGAGTTTACTTATGACCATAAACCAAACTCACTGCTGTCGAGTCGCAACCCCTCCTTGGGTTTCCGAGGTGGTATATACCCGATAGTAGATTGCCTAGTCTTCCTTCCAAGGAGTGGCTGGTGGGTTTAAACCACCAGCCTTCTGATTAGCAGTCAAATGCCTTAGGCACTATGCTACCAGAGCTCCTACTTAAAACCATAAGCACAAAAATTCCTTAACAAAAATTAGCTAGTCAATTCCACCTATGCATTAAAAATACCTGGCAATCCAGTACTCAGAATAAAGCTAGAGAAACCGAAGGAATGCTTGGTGTATGACAAAGAAAGCAATATTCATCAGAGGGGAAAGGATAGATTAATGAACGAATAGTGCTGAGACAACTGATATCCTCATGAGAAAAAATAAAATTAGATCCGTACTCCTCAAAACACCATGTTTTAAAGATCTTAAAGCAAAGCTGTAAAAATTTAGACCAAAACCCCAAGGAAGAAGTCATTGTGGATACTACACTAATATTTAAGTTTTGTACATCAAAGGACACTATAAACAATGTCAAACAAATGACAAAGTAGAAACTGGGGAAAGATATTTACAACTCATGTAGATCAACAAAGTAACGGTACACAAAACATATAATGAGTCTATACTATTAAGAAAAAGATGTTTTAGTAGAATAGAATGAGAATGATCAATAAACACTTGAATTCTCAAAATTAAATCAATGGGATACAATGTCATTAGTACTTAAACTATTTCATACTCAGTTTGGCTGATTTTAGTGTCTAGTAACACCAAGTGATGGACAGTGTGTGGGCAGACTGCAATTTATATTGCTGTTAAGAGAACAGTACATTCCCGTGGCAGAACTGGTACAAGCACTTTTGAAAGCAAATTGATAACCCATAGTAAAGTTAGAGTTCAATATACTCTGAAACTGATCAACTCTTCTACATATCAACTCCATGGAAACTTAGGCACCTTTGTACACAGATACAGAATGTTCACTGCAGCACAAATTTGCAATAATAAAAAAGAAACAATCTCTCAAAAGAAGAATTGATTTATTCTGGTTTATTTTCAAAATAAAATACAATAAAAATAATCTACATCCACCAACAGATAAATCTCTGACACAATATTTAAAGTCTGTTGCTAAAAGATATGTACAATGTGATATTGATATAAAATGTTAAAATACAAAACAATACTTAACAGTCTATGGATATGACAGCACAAATACATACATATACAAAAACATTGACACCAATTTTAGGATAATGGTTGATTGAGGATAAAAGGAAGTTGAAGATCAAAGTTGATCAGAAAGTATCAGAAGAGAATAATCTATAAAGCAAAAGTTAAAGGTAGTCCATGGTGTATGTAGTTGGCAGACTTTTTCTGTGAAGGTCCAGAAAGTAGTACTTTATGCTTTATAAGCCAAGAAGCAAAATCGAGGTTATGTAGCTATTTTATTTAGGTTCAAAATTACTTGAGTTTGAGATCCTCAAAATAAATTGTAAGTATTTATTTTTCAACCATTTAAAACTGTAAAAATCATTCTTAGCTTTTGGAGACCAGACAAACATAGGCAGCAGGCTGGATTTGGTCCATAGACTTTGCTGATTGTTGATCTATAACATGCAGCATTATCCAATGAACATAGTTCTGTGACGATGGCAAATGTTCTCTGTCTACACCGTCCAATATGGTAACCACTAGCCACAAGTGGCTACTGAGCACTTGAAATATGGTTACTGGTACTCTAGAATCGAATTTTAAATTTTAATTAAGATAGCCACTCTACAGTTTCCATGATTTTTAAAAAACAAGTGTAAGATTAATTTAACAAGCAAACTGGAAAAATACAGGAAACTGTGATGGGAGAATGAGATGTATAATCAGTGAGCTAGGAAAACAGAAAAATTTTGACTGATGAAAAGGATTTTGTGTGTGAGTAAGGTAGAATGCAGGACGATATGGAGATGTAGTCAAGAGAAACTGAAGTCAGGATTGGAAGGGTCACCCAGTAAAATTAGAGTATTGTTGATCATGGACCTGGATATTCTACAATCAAAAGTTAGGAAGAAGTGTTAGGTTGAGAATGTGGAGGGGAAGCTGAGAGTTTCATGGCAATGACTGTAAAGAATAATGAGGAAAACAAAACAGAAATGTCCAAGAAGGGTGAGGGTAGTGGTAACTAGAAAGTAAGACATCCAGAGAGACAGATATTCTATCTTTGGAATTTAAAGAATCAAAGAAAAACACAAGCACAATCTCAGACAAAACTTTATTGGTCTTTAAAATGGATAAACTACAGTGCTTTCAGAGGTTAAAGAAATAAAGTGAACTAAACTAATTCTCTCTCATTGACTCATCAAAAACTTTATATAAAGCAAATACAAAAGGCCCTTGGTATTCACATAGTTAACATTTGAGGTTTCAGTCTAATTAAGGAGCCACGCTGAAAGCCCATGACATAATGCATGATTCTGCTGAGGCATCACTTTCAATGCACAGTAAGAGCTGGTGGTTCAGGACCAGTCACATACCTAGTTCCTGAGCTGAAACAACCATAGGTTCTCTAATCATGATCTCACACACAGTTTATCTGATACAAATATAACAGTGGTATAAGGGATCCATAAACAATTTAGGGTATACTCTACTGTCAATGTAAAGGATTTACTTTATTCAAAAATTATAATAAGGAATTTCAAAAGATGTTCAACTTGTCTTCAAAAATCATTCACTCTACTATTTGCTACTTAGGGAGAAAATAAAGATGTCAAATGCTTATAATTAAAACATCTTAATTTAAATAATCATCATTAATTGCCAAGTAAGAATAATTTTGGCTACAATCAAAGGTTTTAGGCAGTCTAAGAAACTGTTCTAGTATAGTATGTAAGTAGTTATTTATATTATCTAAATGTATTAAATTTTGTGTACAGCTTTGAAGAAATATTCATGATCTAGAGTTCTCTCAAGAGAATATTCTATGGCAACAGTTAGACCCACTCACATATTATCTCATAAGCAACAGGGGGGTGTAGGATAAATTTTAACGGCATCCAACAAAAGTTTCATTATATTTAATTTTTTTTCTTAGAACTGCGTCTGGAGTCCTTTTTTTGCTTGAAAACAGGAGAATTTAAGAAACATAAATCTGTAAAACGGTCCCCTCTTCTTAGTTTTCTGTAAGGGTAAAAAGAAATCTTAAGTATAATTATAATCATGCCAACATTAATCTACTCTTCACCATAAGGTTATTGTAAAATATGCCCATTTTAACATTGTCACTTTGATTTTTTATCAAACTTTCACATTTCAAATAAGACTTATTGGTGAACAGAGCTCTACAATCTTATTCTCCCCAAATCTATCATTAAAAATGAACTCCCATAAATCAAATACTTACGAGGAGAGTGTGGGTTCCTTATAGTTCATGCTGACAGTGCATCTACGCTTCGGTAGAGATACTGTTGCACTTTCTTTATTCTTTTTTGGAGAAAGAGAAAGTTTTCTGATTCTAATTTCAGGAGTTAAGGAAACATTGGTGATATCCTTCAGGCTAAGATGAGGTGACTGGTGATTTTTAAGTGGTGAACCTACAAAAATAACTTTTATTGAATATAGTTCCAAAATAGTTACAAGAGTTAAAATTGTACTCAATTATATCAAACCAAACTCACTGCCATTGAGTCAGTTCCGACTTATAATGACCCCTCTGTGGGTGTCCGAGGTGGTATCTCTACGGAAGTAGATTGCCCAGTCTTCCTTCCGAGGAGTGGCTGGTGGGTTTGAACTTCCAGCCTCCTGGTTAGCAGTCAAATGCCTTAGGCACAATGCCACCAGAGCGCCTACTCAATTATATATCTAAATACTTATAAAGTCCACTATTTTATAATACAAGGAGCCCTGGTGGCGGAATGGTTAAGTGCTCAGCCACTAACCAAAAGGCTGGTGGTTTGAACTCAGCCAGTGGCTCAGTGGGAGAAAGAACTGGCAATCTGCTTCCATAAAGATTATAGCCTAGAACACTCTACGGGGCAGTTCTATTCTGTCATACGAGGTTTCTGAGTTGAAATCAACTCATCAGCACCAAACAACATTTAATTTATAATACAGATTTTTTTCTTAACCTTTTCACTTTTACTTTAATCCTTTATGATGTTGAAATATAATTACAATATATGTGAAGAGCTGATACAACAGAGCATTTTACTAAAATCAAAAACAAAACAAAACAACCCTTTGTTGATAGCTTGGGATAATGAATTAGTTTAAACTAGGTGTGGAATTTGATTTTAGTTACATCTTGCTATTTAGAATCATCAAGACCCCTAGCTCTTTCAACACTAAAGTTTATGATCCAGGGGCTTCTGATAATCGTATAAAACCACTTAAACCCATTCCATTAAATAAATGAGAATTCTAAATCTTAGCCTCTTTGTAAGCCAGGAGGAAAGGAATTCCTTTAGTAAAACTAGTATGTTAAGAAGTTATCTAATGTTTTTCCTACTATAAGTATCCAAGCTATTTTATATCTTTGGAATTACATCTATATTGGGAGGCAGGTACACAGCACATAGTAAGGATATTAAACAAAACAAAACCATATCTTTAAATAGCTACAAAAAACAATCATTTCCCATCTTTAAAAAAAAGATATTTGCATGCTGTGTTGTTGTTAGTTACCATGGAGTGGATTGAGAGTTATGGAAAGTCATGTAACTTTTTTAGGCTTTAGTTTCCTTATAAACAAAACATGCATATCTATACTTAACATAGTTGTTCCGAAGATCAATGAAATAACAATACCTTGAAATGGTAGAACCTGCTTGTATATATTAGTTTTACCACATCAAATAAAATTCCCATATGAGAAGTAGGAGGTGCAGGCTGGAGTATCAACATTTGAATCATGCATATTTTTATCTAAGATTTTCTGAGCCACAGTTCTTAGATTTAGAAAGTGTCTTTCAAAAGAATACTAAGCCCATCAATTGAGGAAAAAGTTTCTTGGTCTCCTTGGCCACGTTCACTAACTAGAGAATTACAAAGCAAATTCATTAAAATGTCAGGTCACTGGATTCAAGTTTGAATTTGTTTTCATGGACATGATATAAAAAAATATTTTAATTCCATTTACCTCTTAAAAAAAGTCCCCTGCCTCCCTTGGGGGCCACATTTACTGAAAATAAAAATGCTTTAAGAACAAAAATGTATTTGTTGTTAAAGAGGATTTAAATTAGCTTGAAGTAGGTCAGAACAACACAATGTGATTTCCACCCCCAGCCCCCGACTGTTTTATTAGTCTGTAACTTCCCCCAAAGACAGCCAGATGGTAAGTCTCTAACCTCCCCCAGAGAGACAGATGGCAAGTATAGTACAATATATAAACATCAGGAGCAATCATTTATCTTAAACACTAAAAATGCAGACAAACAAGTAGATCACTTACTGGTAGGAGTTTTGGTTGGCATGGAACCCTCCATCTCCTTTTCGTCCGTGTATTTTGGTACTCTTTTAGATCGAGGCCTGGTGATTGGGCTCCTATCTGATTTGATGTTGAGATTTTGAATGTTCTTGCAAATGTTTTTAGAAGGCAAATAGAAGTCATCGGAATCATCTTCCGAATCACTTGATTCACAGATGCTCACGTCAGACTCATTGTTGCTTTCTTTTCTTGTAGAATCATTGCTCATTATATTTTGTCGGAAAGGAGTGAGATGAACACCCTCCTCCGAATTAAAATTGTAAGCATCACTGGAACTGACAGATACATCTAACTTTTTCTTGGAAACACTTTTTTTATTTTCATTTTTGCTCCCTTTACATCTTGTTATAGACTTTGATTTTCTCCTTCTCTTAGCTTTTCTGTTCTCTTCTCTTTTTCTTCTTAGTGTATTTCTATTCTTAGTTTTAGTTTGTTCAAATTTAGATTCTAAAATGACCTCTTTTGTTTTAGTAAGGCTTCCCGGGTGAGTCAGCTTTGGAGGTAAGTTAATCTGGTCCTTATTCCACTGACAGACATCTTGTTCTACATTTTCGGGTATGTGTATGTTTTTTAGTGGGTCTGCAAATCTAATTCTTTCCAATTCAAAAGATTCTGTCATGTGATTGGTTTCAAAGTCATCTAAGGTATGGAACTGGCACAGACTGTTAAAACCCTTCTTTAAACCTCGACGGACAGATACAGTTCTAGGTAATTCATTATCAGCAGACTTTTCTTCATTTGAATCAAAATCAAATCTCAGTCTTTCATAAGGAACAGTAGGTATCTGCTCTGAGAATTCAAAAAATAAAGGAGAAGAGTTTTACTTTATGGAAATTTTGATTTCAAGAACCTTAGAATTCAATGTGAAAAACAGTGACTAAAAAGTCATCTCGAGTTTCCCTACATTTACTGTAAACAAATACCGAGGAACTTAATTAGTACCATATTATTTATTTGTCAGTGCTCAACTGGTAACTTACATCTGATTTTTGACAAAACCTCATATAACTTTTTAAAAATATTCTAACTTGACTCAGGACCATAGTACTGGGGGACACCAGACTCAATTGGCACAACAAAATACATAAAAGTCTTGTTCCTCATCCTACATTGGTGACTAGCGACTGGGGTCTTAAAAGCTTTTAAGTGGACATCTAAGATGCAGCTAATGGTCTCTTATTGTTGGAAGTGAAGAAGAGTGCAAAATAAAAAACCAAGGGCATTTAGAAGCAATCAGCCCTAGGACACGCTAGCCCTCGAGACCAGAAGAACTAGATGGTGCCCGGCTACGAATGCCAACCACTCAGGAAAGGATCAAATCTGGAGAGCCTGGATAGAGTGGGAGGAAAAACATGGAACAAAATCCCAAAACTCAATAATGACCAGAATTACTGGTTGGATGGAGTCAGGTGAGACCCCCCCAATACTATGGCCCTGGGAAACATTCTGGGCCTAGAATAAAATTCACTCCCAGGGGCTGGCTCTCAGCCCAATAGTAAAAAAGATATACATGCAGACCATGGATGATGTACCCATATACTCTATGGAAATGAATCCCTTGGAGTATTCGACTATGGGGCACCAGAGGGGCAACATTAGCATGGAGGAAATGCAGGACACATAGGAGTACATAACTAAGAGCATGGGGGTAGGGGGTGTTTCTAGGCAGAGAGGAGAGGAGATCGGGTTAAGATTGGGGGTGGTAAATGGGGAGTGAAACTAAATGTAATGTTGAATGAAAAACAAACTGTGCTGTAAACTTGCACTTAATGCACAACTAAAAAAAAAAATTCTAACCTGGGGTTTTATATGCCTCTGATTTAAAGAAATTAAAGTATTCAACTGAAACACCTAACAAATTATCAGTAAAATATCCACCATCTATTTTATTTAAGTATACCTTTACTAGGCTCTGTGGATAATAAAAGAAGAGGAAGCTTAGAATCTCACTGGAATCATAAACATTATTTATACTAAGAAAAGGAGGACAGATAAAGTGGGAACTGAGTTCTTTAAAAAATGAGTAAGATGTGAATAGCTGGAAAGCACTTCAGGTGAGAAATACAATCCATATGTTTAGGTAAAGTATGTTTATCTGGATATACTTATTCAAACACTATCCCTTCTTCAAAGCTTAGTTCAAGCAGAAGGGAGTGAAGTATAAATTGACACATCAATTTATAAGGCATAAGAATAGCATAGCTTTGGAGTTCAGCTTTGGGATTAAATCCTTGCTTTTACCAATCAGCCTACTTCTTGTGATATGCTTTATTTCTTTGAGTCTATATAAAATGGACTGACTGTATCTATATTCCAAGTCTGTTCTACGTACAGTGCCTAATGCAGAACTTGGCATTTAGTCGGGGTGAGTAAATTGCAGCCAGAGTAATAACCAAGGATTCTGAGAGTTTTGGCACAGTAGATGAATACATTTTAAAACCTTATTCTGTGTGAAACAAACTGGTTTGCTTTGAGCAGAATACCAGCCAGATTAAAAAACTTAAATAAATAGAGTAATTTAAATTGTGTTACTTATTTGGAAAGGTTTGTTGCCCTTAATAATATTTTAGATTCTCACCTGAATTACCTTCTATTTGGAGTAACTGTCCTGGAAAGTCAGCTTCCTGAAGAGGAATTTGCCTTAGAAAATATCAATGAAAAATAACTTTAACAATCATGTAAAAAAACAAATATTATCCTAAATTATAGGTGATTTTTTTAAAAAATATTTTTAGTACCATTTCATAATTCCATTCGAAATCAGTACATCTGTTCTGTATCAAATGAAACAAAAAACATCTAATTACACAGAGGCCGGTTTGTTTTGACTGACATTCAACTCCCACTAGAACTGTATAGATTAACATACTCAAATTGGACAGTTCCTCCTAAAAACATGCCAGAACTTGTAATTTCACTTAACTGAAAAAACACAAATCAGAATTGGCTTACCAAATATTTTAAGGAAAGTAGTTTGATTACTCAAGTCTTTAGGAGCCTGCTTTAGTCATTAGCAGAGCTGTGATATGTTGCTAGTGCTTGCTTTTATGGTGTTGCAGTATCAATGCCTCTGAAGTTGTTTAACATTGTTCATTTTCTTGAAAATCCCCTTTGGTTCATCAAATAAGAAATTTTCTTAATGTTCTAATACTGTTACTGGTAGCTTCATTCTAATTGTAAGTTTATTCTTTATTCTCTGTAGAGACTTTCCACCTCCAGACATCAAAAATGAGGTAACAGAGCTATGGTGACTAACTAATAACTATCTTAAAATTCAATAGTTAAAAACTATTCAGGATTAAAATTAATTAAAATTGATCAGTGAGGTTAGAAATCATATTAGTGGTTACTTCTGTGAGGAGATATGACAGACTGGAAAGGGATATGAGGGCAGTGTCTAAGGGAGTGGTTCTCACCGGGGACATTTAGGTTTTCTGGGAGATATATGGCAAGGTCTGGAGACATTTTTGGCTGTGACAACTAAGGGGATGCCACTGGCACCTAGTGGGTAGAGGCCAGAGATGCTGCTAAACATGCCATGATGAATAGGCCAGCCTCCACAAGAATCATCTGGTCAAAAATGTCAATAGTGTCAAGACCCTGGGCTAGAGTGATGGTAATGTTTTCTATCTTAATTGAGGCTTTGGTTTCAGAGATGTGTGTGTTAGTCAAGCTCATTAAACTATGCAATTGAGATTTGTGTATTTTATATGTAATTATATCTCAATAAAACAAACACACATAAAAAATATACTCCATTCAAGAGAATGGGATGAGGGTATACAGGGTCTGACTGTATTTAAAAATGAATCTGTCCAGCAAAACAGCGTGACAGCTATGTTAAATATGGTGTTTTATTATATTTCTTTTGTAACCAGACTATAATACTGGCAAAAATCACCATTTGAATAGCCAAATCCTTAGAAAAAACATGATACGGAGGAAACTACTATAAAAGGACCAGTTTTAAAGGTTTACAGCAGCTTTTTATTCCTAGCCATTAAGAAAGTAAATAGAAGGGGTGTAAAAAAAAAAGCTTTAAGCTTGGCTACCTGTAATAGAATTTCAACATATCATAAATATATTCTCAATAGAGTGTTAGACTCCAAATATGCTTCAGTATGATATAAATTTTATCTCATAAATGTTACTATACATCATGATTTTTAATAAAGAATTTTGATACTAACGGTAAATTCTTCACAAGTAATTCCCCGGAGCTGTTATCACTATTTGAGTCCATTCCAGAGGGACATACTTCCTGGTTCTGTTAATGTATTAAAACATAAGAAAATACTGTTATAACTGATTTGCTCAATAATAAACACTTATTGACAGTTTATATAGTGCTAGGTACTATTCTAGAAACTGAGATTACAGAGGCTAAAAAACAGACTAAGTCTGGTCCTCTTAAAACTTACAATCTAATGCAAGGAGACAAAAAAAGCAAAAGATATAATAATAATTTCAGACAGTGAAAAGTACGATGAAGGAAGTACCCAGGGTGAAATGACAGAAGATTGATGTTAGAGGGTTCATTTAGATAGGGTGACTTTGATCTGAAATCTAAAGAACGTGAAGAAGTCAGCCACTGAAACATCATGGAAGAGAAAGTTGTGGAAACAGCAAACACAAAAGTCATGATGTAAGAAAAACCTTGTTGTGTTTAGGAACAAAAGGCTGTTGTGACTGGACTATAGTCACCAAGAAGAATGGTAGATGTCCTAGGAGAGTCAGAAAATGTAGGAACTTGAGAGCCAAGAGTTTGGAGTTTGGTCTAAGTGTGATGGGAAGTCACTAAATATTAAGTTGGGATGCAAAATAAGTCTTTAAAAGGCAACTGTGTGACACATGGATTGAAAGGGGGTCAAGGACAGAATGAGTTAGGAGGTCATAATAGCAAATTAAGCAAGACATTACATTAGCTAGGACTAGAGTCTTATGGAAAGGAGCCCTGGTGGTGCAGTGGTTAAGTGTTTAGCTGCAAACCAAAAGGTTAGCAGTTCAAATCCACCAGAAAGATGTGGCAGTCTGCTTCTATAAAGATTACAGCCTTGGGAACCCTATAGGGCAGTTCTAGTGTTTGAACTTGAATGAGTCGGAATCGACTTGGCAGCATCTAACAACAAGTCTCAAGAAGCTGAGGCTCAGTGGTGGCCATGAGATAATAAAACTTGTTCAAAGACCGAATGGAGTGGGTGTAGGGCAACAAGGGAGAGAGATGTTTCTTAGGGTTTTGGCCTGAGCAAATAAATGGGTAAACTGCTTTAATGAAATGAGTTAAGACTTACGGAGGGAGGTAAAAACACGTGTTATCTTCGGGAGTGAGAAAGTAAAGAGTTGTGCTGTGGACAAAGTAGGCTTGAGGCCCTTTATGAAAAGTGAAGTGGAGATATTAAGTAGTACTTAAGCGTGTGTGTGTACGTATGTGTGTGTATTTGTGTTCAAGTCTAGGGCTATAAATTTGGAACTCACCAGCAGATACACAATATTTAAAGCTATGGAGGAGTAAGATAAGACAGATCTGGGACAACTGAAGAAGAAAAACAAAGTAGGAGGTCTCACATTGCCATATCTCAAAACCTACTACACAGCCACAGTAGTCAAAACTGCCTGGTATTGGTTCAATGACAGATACATAGACCAATGGAATAGAATTGAGAACCCAGATATAGATCCAT